ATAACCTAAAGTTTGTTCTAATTTTGTTGTTGGTGTTATTAATTTCTTACATCTACAATAGGTGTTACTTCAGAGTTTTGTTAACAAATCAGACGGTTTTAACTGTTGAAGAATTTTTTTTTATGTTATGAACGTTGGTATTTATTGATATTATGTCTCACTAAGTTTTGGTTTCCTCTGTGTGTGACATTGATGATCATTTAAAGTCTAATTTTCACAAAAGATTGTGGTTGTGTTGAACTGATATGGGTAATATTTTTTGGCCTAATCATAGGAAACTTGATGTATGTTTTGTGTTAATTGTTTTTTATTTTTATATTCTGTTTGTCATGGCCTTTCATTCTACACATGTTAGAAATTCTACTGAAATTTGAAGTTGATGACTTACAATGCTAGTCATTGGGTTTGTTGTAATGAGACTTATGTTGTTGCCCTATTTTCAACTTAATACCAATCCTTCGTTCCAATACTTTTATCAATTTCATCCACTAACTATTGTCTGTTTCTTGAACAGGATGGAGTCTCAAGTTAAGCATGCCCTTGTAGTCAAAGTCATGGGTCGTACTGGATCCAGAGGACAGGTGACTCAGGTCAGGGTTAAGTTTATGGATGATCAGAACCGTCTAATTATGAGGAACGTGAAGGGACCAGTGAGAGAAGGAGACATACTTACCCTTCTTGAGTCTGAAAGGGAGGCAAGAAGATTGCGCTAGAGGGTTGATTTGTTTGTCTTCAAATTTAGTGAAAACAATATTATGCCTTGAATTTTGTGGTAGCTAGTGGATGCTGAAGGTTATATAGCATCCGATATTGTTGCCATGGATCTATTTTCTTTTCGTATGATGACTTGACTGTTGATGTTTCTTGTTTAAGCATCAAGATTGAAATGAGTTTTGATTAATTTATTATGGTTTTGCTTCTGTAGTTATTTTGTTTCTGTATTGCCTTCTGTTCAACTTCCACATAATTTGCAGTTACAATTCTCTTAAGTTTAAGTGGATAATGAACAAGGATTATCACAAATTGGGATAATGTCAAAATTTGCAGTTACAGATATCATACATCTCTTTCTATGAGGTAATTAGTATTAGCTATACAAGTAACTAATTTTGACCTTACCGTGGTTTGTGATAGCCCTTTTAATAAGACTTATTACACTAACAACTTCACAAGCATGTACATTGAAGGTTCTAAAAGTTGTATGTAGTCTTTCATAGTGCTTTTATTAATACCTTAAAAGCTTCCCCCTCTTCGGTTGCTTAACCAAATCCTGTACATGAAGGTTTTAAATTTAGGTATATGATCGCAACGAAAGTCAAAATGTTTTTAAGTTTAAATAGTAGTTCTGAGAAATGGCATCATGATTGTATAGGCATTCATATTTTAGGCAAAGTTCTACATTTCCTCAATAAGAGTAAGGTGAAGTTTATTGCATTCAGGCTGCATATTTTTTGGTAGAAACTTAAAGTCCTCTGGATTTGACTTTGCCATGGTTGGAGTCTTATTTCAATATGCATTGGTTGTGAAGGTTCATTTGAAAAGAACATTAGCACTGAAAAAACTGTAGGACAATGTGGAAGTTGAGAGGAGAGTTGGTTACTAAAGAATCTGAGTTTGAGATGGCAATGAAAACTTTGGTAGAGGCAAGAAGAGGAAATGTATTGTCTGTTTGTTTGTATGATACTTTAGCTTTGTGAAATGATTTTTGCTATAATGTTTTGTTTGCACCATTTTCCCCCACATTAAATTGTTGCAAAACAATTATTTGTATATAAAATCCATTCACTTATAGATCCTATATGTCAAAATTGGACCAATTCATATATAAATGATGCAAACATGAAGACCTTCAATAAAGCTTAGGTGCAATTGTGTGGTCTTTTGTTGCAGTTGATTATACATTACAAGAATTCTTAAATAGGCACAATCTACCATATCATCTTGTAAGAACTCAAATCTACCCAAAAGTTCTACCATTAATCATGAATCTTAATACAAATTGCGGACAACATGATCTCGATCACAATATTGCGGTAACTGCATCACATAAAAATTATTGTGTGACACCAAATCATAATGATACAGCCGTATCGAGTCATAGTATAATTGCATTAAACCGTATTTGGGTCGCATCAGATCGTATTGGACCACACTAAATTCAAAAATATTTTTTTTTAATAAAAAATAATTTACGCCGAATTGAGTACAATTAGCATCGCAGATTACAATAATAGTAATCTCAATTTAAAACACTGAAATATTATATTTTAAATAACAACCAGTTGTTAGCAAATTAACCCTTATTCTGAATATTGTTATGTTCAGAATCGTTTAAGCAAGAACAACAAAGTCAAATGTACTTTATTTATGTTTTTTATAACAAAAAATTCAATATATTTAATCTTGGCTTAATAATGCTGCATGGATCATTTGTATGCAATCATCTACAACCGACAACCTAAGGTTCTAACTGAGGCAGAAGTATTCTCTTATCATCCATTCATTTGATGGAAAAATTCAACATAGAACAAACAAATATACACACAGAGTAAATCAGCTTTTTGGACTTACTCTACTTTTTAATTTATACATGGAATCCCAACTAAAAAAAGTGATTTAAACCCATGATTTCTTGATCACTAAGCAACAACCTTATATTAAAAAAAAAAGAAACAAGAATTTCAAGTTTGGAAGTATTTTAAAAGGATTAGTTGACCACAAAAGCTGGGATAAATTCTATGTTATTTTAAGCATGTTTTTTTCTGCAAAATTTCATTGGTTATGATTTACAACTTCTGATAAAGTGAGAAACTCTGCATAGACATAGTTGAGTTGACTTTTATCTTTACAAAACCATATTGACCTTTCTTGCTCTTGCTTCAATTTCTCCTCCAAAAAAATTTCACCATAGGCTTGGTATGTGACTATTGAATCTCCAAAATTATTATATAGTATATATTCAGCCTACATCAGTAAATATTTTTTCTTTCTATCTTATGCTATAGTTCTCTTATTTGATATCAATCATCTAGGACTTTCATTTGTAACAATACCCTTTTGGAATTTGACATGATTTTTCAAAATTCATTGAGTTTCATGTTTCAGATTCTACAAATATGAAGTTTTTATATATGCTATCTCAACTTTTCCTTCTTTTCACAACCTTCTTTGTTTTATTTTGTAGTGACATAGAAGGTGTAGTTTGAAAGCTTTTGGAATGGAGAATCAGCATGGAACAAAGATTAATACTGAGAAATTCACTTGGATAATTGAAAGTTTCTCAAAGAACAACACCAAGAAACTTCAGTCCAAGTCTTTTGTTATTGGTGGTTGTAGATGGTAATTTCAATAGCAAAATCTTGAAACTTTTTTAACTAATCTTGCATATGTGACTCAATTTATAAGTATTATATCAGTTTCTAAGTTTAGTTTTCATTTTATCTCAGGAGGATAGTTATGGAACCAATAGAAAAAGGTGTGGAACATTTATCATTGTGTTTGAAGATTTCAGGTCCTATACCAGAATTTGGATGCAGCAAATTTGCTTATTTGGAATTATCTCTTATTAACCAAATGGATAGTGAGAAATCAATTGTAAAAGGTATCATTCACATAATTAACAATCTTGTTATTTTGAACATTCATTTATATAGGAATAATGCTATATATACTTTACTCAAGATTCATATATAATATACTAGTGATACAAAAAGTTGATGCAAGATAATGCTATCTGAACTAGGTTCTGTTTAATTTGGTTCTAAATGACTATATCAAATGTAACACAATTCAATGATTTGTTCTTGGTGTTTGTAATTTCCAGAGACTCGATATAAGTTCGATTCAAGATATCGAATTTGGAGTTCATCATTCATACATCTCAGCGACTTTTATAATCCGAAACAAGGATATCTCATAAATGGTCATTGCATTATTGCAGCCAATGTTACTGTCTCAGATAATGCATTTGAAGTTACTACTAAATCTCAGGAAGATTTTGGAGTTGTGATTCCACCCTCAGAAGGGACAACTAGTCCTAAGCAAGTACATTTTGAAGAGACAAAAAGTCCTAAACCATCTTTGTACCCTTCTATATATGATGATGGACTTAAGGAAGTGCCCTTAATCCATCTAAGTGATGTCCTAGATATCAATAGTTTAGGACCAGAAGAAGCATATTTTTTCCCACTTTTAGAAGAGGCTTGTTTATGCCATCCTTCATTGATAGAAAGCCAGATGAAAAAAAGTTCTAAGTACATTCTATGGGCATTCACATCTTTGGGTCAAGTCCTACATTTCCTTAAGACAACGAAGGCGAAAAATATCGACGAGGAAGCGTGCGAAAACCTCGAATGTCTATGGGAAGAAGTTAAGTTGTTTGGTTTTGACTTAACTTGGCTAGAACCATATATTCTATCAGCATTGGATGTTAAAGCATACTTGGAAAAAGCTGAAAAAGTGAAAAATCTGAAAGAGGGTGTTGTTGATTTGGAGATTGAAGTGAGGAATCTAAGAACAAAACTAGCTTTTGCAGAAGTAGAAGTTGATATAGCAAGAAGGGACTTAGAAGAAATAGAAAAGGGTTTTGAAGAAAGGGACATTGATGCAGAACTTGGTTATGAGATATAAAAATGCTACTAGCATATGTTACATTATAATGTAACAGAAGGAGAATGTATTTGTATTTATTTAATAAAGTTGAATAAATTGTGATTAAATAATAAATACTATATAATAACATTATGTATAAATATGAGTGCTACTAAGTAGCAAGTGTGTTATATTATATTTTGTGAGTACCCAATTTTATCCGGCCAAAAATATATATTTCCAAATAAATAAGTAACAATATCAATGTATTTATCCCCCAATTACACAAGTTTAAAAATTAGTTTTGTTACAACTTTTGGTATATAGAATTAAAGAAATCAATTGATAATACAATAATTTAAACCAATATAATAATTACACTTCAATGATGCAAATCAATCCATTAATTCACACGATAAACTTTAGTTTTGGCCATAATAAAAAAACATATCCAGTCATTAAAGGAGAAAACAGATTTTCTCCCTTAACTACACCCAATTATGTTAAGTAAGAAGTTTCCCCCACATTCTGCCCATACACCCCTCTTGTGGCTTAAATATAGACCGCATTCAATCCTGAAAAGGAAAGAAAATCAAGTTGGCAGAAAAACAGTAAGGCAATCACTGAAAAAAGGAATTATTCCATAACATAGAGACAAGACCCAGGGAGAAAATAAGGGTACTAAAGAGCATTAACCATGATTGGAAATTCAAAATTTGTAGGCTTTATGAAAGGAAATTCTCAATCCTTATAAAAAGGGAACCTTTCAGAACCTAAGAGGACAGAGAAATAAATCAAAGAAACAAAGGGAAGTAATACGTACACAGAAAAATATAACACAACAGAGAAATAGAGAAGAATTAGAAGAGATTTTTTGGCACACAATCTGTTTGGGAAAGGAGGAGCTTAACAGGGAAAATATCATTCTTCTACTGAGACATAATCATCCTAATCGACAGGTCCAGGTTAGCACTTGTTGTGTATTATAATAATTCTTCATATGGAAAAGAATTAATTTAAAAGTATGTCTTAAACATTTGTTCATTATGTATGTGTGGCAAGAGCATTCATGTTATAACAATACCTACATTGATTTCTACATATAATCACAAACTTTCTCAAATCATAATACATGCTCATTTACGGATCATTGTGAGATATACAGAGGATTATAGGGTACATTCATAAAGAACAAATCAAAGACATCAAACCATCTAGGCAGTGTGTGGAGTTATAAAGTTTTTATGCTTGTTTTGTAAAATAAACCAAAAGGCAAGATAGATCAACAACATCATACTCCAAAATAAATAATAATAAGCAAACTCATATTTATTGATTTAATCACAATACCAACACATACAACCAGAAACAATAAATTATCAATACTGTAAGTTAAAGTCACCAACGAAAATGAGAAAGAAAAGATATCAAACCACAAAAGGGGTTCACCCAAGTTCAAGGGAAGGGATCCTTCTTCACTTATCTCTGGTTCGCGGAAGCGCCGCCCTCCTCCGCCAAACCAGCGTCCAGACAGCGACGCGATTCACATGGTACAGCGGGGTTCTTCTCCTCCCAGCCTCGCCAACGCTGCCAGCCTCCGCCGCATGTTCCAGGGCCCGTCTCGAACAGCCTTGCGCGGCGGTTCACCCATTAGCAGCTCCGGCGGTGTCCTCAGTCGCCGGTCCAAGTCCAACGGCAGCTGGTTGAATGGTGGCAGCCGTGAAACCCATATTCCCCGATCTCCCCTAAATCCCTAAAAACCTAAGAATAAAAAACTTATAATTTAAAACCTAACCCTTTTCTCCCTTTTCAGATTTGTGGAGTGGGCTTTATGCCTTAGTTGTTTTGCTATTTTCAGTGTTTGCTTATTTAAAACTATGTTTCTATAATTCTATTATTAAGAAACTATTATATATATACATAATTTATTTGTCCTTTTATAAATAAAACTCTTCTTTTACTCAATAGCGAATATCAAAATAAATCATACTTTTTTAAGGTTATGACTATCGTATATTTTAATTCTTATTTCGAGCCGAGAACCGGTCGCGGTCATTTGTACTGCTTCTGTTATTTATCAAAGTAAGAAAATAATTAATGTTAAATTTTCATTAATAAAAATTCCTCTTTAAAAATGTATAAGTTAAATAAAAATGTTTTTTGAGATTTAATAGCGAGGTTACAACTCGTATTACATCTTTCTTCTCACTTCGAGCCGAGAACCGGTCGTGGTCACTTGTACTGCTTCTGCTATTTATCAAAGTGAGAAGAGGGTAAGCAATCAATGTTGACTCGTCGTTTATTAGTCTCACCTCAATTAAAGTCAAACCAATTTTTTAATAACTCTCAATCAAGACTTGTCCTTATCTAATCATAACTGTTGGTTGAATTAATTTTTTGAACTTGGACCCTGTCCTAAACCCGAAACTAACCTGACCATAAATATTCACCGGGTCAGCTTTTAAACCTGAATTCGACCTAAACCCGACTAAATATAATGCATACTTATTAATTATGATTAAAAATTAGATAATCAATGATATTTTCGACTAAAAAAGTATCATTCATCTAGACACATTTGAACAGAGACACAAACAAATATGATGAGTGAGTGAATATGGTCGGGTTGGATTGGGTCAGATCATGTTTGGTCCTTACCCGATCCTAAATATTGAATGTGTCTAATTTTTGAACTCAGATCCGAGCCTAGACTTGATGAGACTCGACCCTATTCAAACTCGATCATAATCGAAACATACCGAGTAAACGAATAAGGTCGGGTCTTACTAACCCCTAATTTTCATTACAACTAATTCCTTCTTGTGGCTTCATTATTTAAGGCTTACTATATATATATATATATATATGTTCATTTTTCTTATTGTTTTGCCAAATCATTTTATATAGTATTATTGGATTTGAAATGATGACATCAACTTTAGGTTTATTTTATTTAATTGTCAAAGTATTGTTTGGATTTAATTAACATAACCTGAAATGGAATTGGATTGGATTAGTACATATACAGCTGTCTTTAAATGGCAATATAAAAATTCATAAAGCATAGATTCTCAATGATTTTTGTTGCATGTAGGTGTGTGTGACCAAGTCAATGTATGTCAATACTTATTCAAAAATATTTATAATTCACAATCCACAATTTTTATCATATTTTTACAGATAAGGATTATATATATATATATATATATATATATAAATTATCAATTAGTAAAAGAGAAGAGAATAACATAAGTAATTTGGTAAGGAGATTCGGCCAATTGTGTCTACGTCCCCGGGAGCTTTGAGAGGCTACCACTATATATTATTAGAGAATAATGATTTGTGTTTAACTAGTGTTCTCCATTTTTTACATTAGGTTTACATAACATAAATATATAGCTCTATACCTCAACCATTTACATCAGCCCAAACTCATAACTTGTATTGCTCTTATAATGAGAAGAGACCCGATCCATTGAATATGAGTCATTTCTATTTGACTTGGGATCAAGTTTAGATCGTTCATCACTAGGTACATGTATATAAGCAGGACAACCAAATATGTGTAGCATATTATAATTGATTGAGTTACTTGTCCATACTTCTTCTGCAACTTTAACATCCAATGAAGCTCGTGGTGATCTATTGATGACATAGCATGTCATACTAAGTGCCTCTGCCCAAAATCCTTTGGAAAATCCAACATTCAGTCTCATACATCTGACCCTCTTTGTAAGAGTTCTATTCATCTTCTCTGTAACACCATTCTGCTGAGGAGTCATCTTCATTGAAAAGTGTCTCTGAATACCATGTTCCTCACAGAACTTCTGAAACTGTGAGTTCTTGTATTTCATACCATTGTCTGACCTCAAGTATTTGATTTTTCTACCAGTCTAGTTCTCTACCTCTGTCTTCCAAACCTTGAACTTGGCAAAGACTTATGACTTATGTTTCAGAAAATATGCATAGACATTGCGAGAAAAGTCATCAACGAAGGTAACAAAATACCTAGAACCTCTTAGGGATGGTTCTTGAGTGGGTCCCCAAACATCAGTATGGACATAGTCTAGAATGCCCGAGTCTTGTGTTGGCCAGCCTTGAAACTAACTCGTGTCTGTTTTCCAAGCACACAATACTTGCACAAATCTAGCTTGCATTTGCTGACTCCCCTCAACAGTCCTCTTTTGCATAGTTCTGTCATGCCACACACACTAATATGACCCAAACGCATATGTTATAATTTTGTAGCATCATGGTCTGAATCTACTGAAATCTCTTCAGCCACTACAACAACTCCACATACAACTGTTCTCCCTAACAGATTGTAGGTGTTCCCAACAATCATCTTACCATTCACCACAGTTATAACACCTTTCCATACTCGAACTATCTCCATCAACTCTATAGCTAAATCATTTGGTCTGCAATGTCTCCAAAGAAATCAAATTCTTCTTCAAATCTGGCATGTGCCTAACCTCACATAACGTCTTCACTACACCATCATCCATGACAATTTTGATTTGTCTCATGCCAATAATTCCACATGATTTATTATTTCCGAGATACACAAAATCAAAATTGTCTGCCCTGTATGTGGTGAACTAGTCTCTGTTTGGCGTCATGTGGTGGGAATAATCAGTGTCAAGTATCCACTCATCTACACTATGACTTGATGATACAGATAGTAGATCAACTTCGTTGTTGTAACCATAGTCATATTTTTGTGCAACATTTTCAGATGTAGATACTTCATCTTTCCCCATCGGCTTGCTAGGACTCCATTCATTGGCACAATCCTTTTTGTAATGTCCAGTCTGTTTGCACCTAAAACACTCCACTGGTGTTCTGCCATTGGAATTTGTTCTTTTCCCTTTGGCAGGACCTCCTCTGCCTTGTCCCCTCCCACGCGCATGACTCCCTTTCACATGCAGACCATCACCCTAAGACCATTCTCCTACATTTTGTCTTCTTTAAGTGTGTGACAGAAGTGCATATGCGATTTCATCTAGTTTGATTGAGTTTTTCTCGTATGTCAATGTTGTCATCAAGTGTTCATAGGAATTTGGCAAAGAACATAGTAGTATTATTGTTTTGTCCTCATCATCAGCCTTCACATCAAGTTTCTACAAGTCATTGATCACTTGATCAGTACCCTCCTGCATCTTCGGGTCATAAAGTCTTTATTTCAAATACAGCTTATTTGTTAGAGACTTAGACATGAGCCGGTTCTCTAATGTCTCTCAGACCTCTGTTGGTGACGTCAAATCCATAACATGATATATCACCTCATCTGATAGGCAGAGTCGTATAGTTCCTGCAGCCTTCTCCTTCAACTCTTCCCAATCCAGTTGGTCCATACCATCTGGTTTATTTTCACACAGCGTCTTTGATAGACCTTGTTGATCCAACAAATCCTTAACCCTCATTTGCCACAATCCGAAATTACTAGTTTCATCAAACTTCCCCACCTCGAAATTGGCACCTGGGTTAAGAGCTATCTAATATCAATTGTTGGGAACAAGCGATCAATCAAATAGTAAAAGTGAAGAGAATAACACAAGAAATTTGGTAACGAGATTAAGCCAATTGTGCCAAAGTCCTCGGGAGCTTTGAGAGGCTACAACTATATATTATTAGAGAATAGAGATTTGTGTTTAACTAGTTTTCTCACTTTTACATTAGGTTTACCTAACATAAATATATAGCCCTCAACCTTTTACATCAGCCCAAACTCATAACTTGTATTGATGTAATGATAAGAAGAGGTCTGATCCATTGAATGAGTCATTACACAACATAAATAATGGGACAATTTTAATTATCCATATTTTCTATCTTTCAACTTCTAAATATCATGTATTTTTTCTTATCAGCTCCATAAGCCTATCCAAATGTTAGTTACGAATAATATTATTTAATATCGCAATTCAATTTGAATTATTCATATTTTCTATTTTTCAACTTCTGAATATCATGCATTTTTTTCTTAACACCTCCATAAGCCTATCCAAATGTTAGTTACGAATAATATTATTATTAATCTTGCAATCCAATTTGAATTATCCATATTTTCAACCATGCAACTTCTGAATATCATGTATTTTTTTCTTAACAGCTCCATAAGTCTATCGAAATTTTATTTATGAATAATATTATTACTAATATTGCAATTCACTTTGAATTATCCATATTTTATATCTTTTAACTTCTGAATATCATGCATTTTTTTCTTAAAAGTTTCATAAGCTTATCCAAATGTTAGTTACGAATAATATTATTATTAATATTGCAATTCTATTTGAATTATACATATTTTCTATCTTTCAACTTCCGAATATCATGCATTTTTTTTAACAACTCCATAAGCCTATCCAAATGTTAGCTACGAATAATATTATTATTAATATTGCAATTCAATTTGACTTATTCATATTTTCTATCTTTCAACTTCCGAATATCATACATTTTTTTCTTAAAAGCTCCACAAGCCTATCCAAATGTTAGTTACGAATTATATTATTATTAATATTGCAATTCAATTTGAATTATCCATTTTTCGATCTTTCAAATTTCGAATATCATGCATTTTTTTCTTAACAGTTTCATAAGCCTATCCAAATATTAGTTACGAATAATATTATTATTAATATTGAAATTCAATTTGAATTATCCATATTTTCTATCTTTCAACTTCCGAATATCATGCATTTTTTTCTTAACGGCTCCATAAGTCTATCCAAATGTTAGTTACGAATAATATTATTATTAATATTGCAATTCAATTTGAATTATTCATATTTTCTATTTTTCAACTTCCGAATATCATGCATTTTTTTATTAATGGCTCCATAAGCCTA